GGGGGGGTTGGCAGGAGAGGGAGAGAAATGAGTTCTTTGTCTAGAGAGACTGTAATGCAACAAGTTCCCACAATTCTCAGATGATGTTTTAAGTTGAATTCTGGGAAAGCACACACTCCTATTTCCTGCTTTCATAGGAAGGTGCAAAAATGGAGTTTTGTGCATTTAGAAGGCATTACAACAAATTAAGCACGTACCAAGTGCTAGTTTGCAAATTCTAAAAATAAAAGCATCTAGGTGTGCTACATTACGGAGTAGCAGTAATGTGTGTCATGATTGTCCCTTGTAAGATACAAGGGAGGAGGATATCACCATGTGTATGGAGAGTTCAGTTACGAAGGTATCCTTGGATTTGACTTGTGTATTTTTGGGGTTTTTTTTTTTAATCAAGCTGAAGTAGGAGTTTTGACAATTTATGGGGCAGACTTTTTGACCCAAAACTGAGATTTCCATACCTCCTGAGCTATTCAAGTTGTAGTAATAAAGCTGAACTCTGCTTTGAATATTACTTTTATCAGAGGGTCAGGAATAGGTCTGTGTTGAGCAGTCTGTCACCAGAGTAACTTGATAACACTAGGAATCCAGCCATATCAGTTTATTTGATCACCTATTCTTAAAGATTTTGGCAGGATGGAAGAGGAGATTCATGAGATTTCCCACATTGTTTCTGGTTTGTCTTCTCCTTTCAGAATGCCTTTGATTCTGTAATTATAGTAAGGTGGGTTGGAGGTTGTGGTATTTGCCAAAATTAGGCTCAAAGTTAACAGCATGGTAGTTATGATGAGAACATGTTAATAAAACATGGTATTCACTAAGGATTTCGTTGCTGTTTTCTCTTTCTCTCTCTGCTATAGTTTGAGGGTGGCTCTGGATATGGTAAGTTTTTTTATATATAATTTTTACACGTGCTTCATCACTTAATCATTAAAGGGCTTGATGCATACATTTAAATCAGACTATTCTTATGCAGGGGGCCGTGGGTCATATGGAGATCTTGGTGGACCCATTATCACAACCCAAGTAACGATTCCGAAAGATGTAAGTAAAGTTAACTTTGCTTTCCATGTTTCTTTTTAATTGGCCCTTTCTCTGACTATATAAGTAAATCATAAGTACGAGATGGTTTTTAAAAGAACTTAAGTACCATTAAAATTACACAAGTATTTCTAAATTGCCAAAAGTCTGTTCTTCAGCATGTTTATTTTGAGTTTAGTGACACACTGAACAATTGCATTGTTAACAATCTGCATAGCTGCTTTTATGCAAACAAGCAGCTGGTTCTTCCAACTTCATACCAGCTGTGTTTATACAAGAAATATTACAGAGGCTATTTTGAGTATGTTCCCACTGAAATTCTTAAAAAATTAATTCCTGAAAGCTACTTGAACACTACTGTCATATCTGTAGCTGCTTTTATAGAGAAAATTGTAACAAAAGAAATTAATGCTTTATTTTCTCCCTTAGTTGGCTGGATCTATAATTGGAAAGGGAGGCCAGAGAATTAAGCAAATACGTCATGAGTCAGGAGCTTCGATCAAAATTGACGAACCATTAGAAGGTTCAGAAGACCGGATAATAACTATTACAGGAACACAAGACCAGATACAAAATGCACAGTATTTACTGCAGAACAGGCAAGTTGAACCTTAATGCTGTCCTTAGTGTCAATTTTCAACTGACTTTTTTCCCTACTACATTCTAAAGCTCCTATCTGTGATATAGTTTCTAGAAGGCAGGTTTTAAGTAACTATTTAAACCTAACTTCTCCAGTTGTGATAGTTCTGCCTTGATTGTTCTCTGTTCTCCATTCTAACTTAAATGAAGTCGCCCTCAAAACTAATCTTGCTGGAAGACGCCTTAACCAAGCAGTCCTCTCATTTCTCTGGTGAAAACTGCTGCAAAAAACTACTTGTAATAAATTACATAGAGCCTGTAGAAAATATAGAAGATTTCAATGGATGTTGGTCTAGTTCTGTGTGGAAGACTAGTGATTTTGTTGTTTTTAGATAACTAAATTGACAACAAATCACAGTCTGCCATATGGCACAGGCCATGCCTCTACAGGACAAGTTGAAATCGATTGGTGCTGTTAATGCAGCATTTCACACCTTGCTGGCATTACCTTTGTCTTTTTTGCCAAATATTAACAATTTCAGATTTCTTTTGCTTTACTAACATGTTGGCTATCATAGCAATTCCTAAATGTTTAACTTGAATAGTTTGGCTTTAGACTACTAATTCTTAAATGTACTTAAAAGACTCCTATGTCCATAATTACTAGCTATTACCTTTTCTTTAAAAAAGGAAAAAAAAAAAACTTCTAAACCTTTTAAGACTTTGTAATTTAATCTTTAATGTCATTGTGAATATTAATACCAGATGTACGGTCAATCATTCTAATACATGCTTTTTTCTTTTTCTTTTATAGTGTGAAGCAGTATGCAGATGTTGAAGGATTCTAATGCAAGATTATTTTTTCTTTTTTATAGTGTGAAGCAGTATTCTGGAAAGTTTTTCTAAGACTAGTGAAGAACTGAAGGAGTCCTGCATCCTTTTTTTTTTATCTGCTTCTGTTTAAAAAGCCAACATTCCTCTGCTTCATAGGTGTTCTGCATTTGAGGTGTAGTGGAATCTTTGCTGTCCACCAGATGTAATGTTTTAGTTCCTTACAAATATTTGGGGGGAGGGAAAGGGCGCGTGAGACTAACACTGAAATTTTGAAACAGCAGCAGAGAGTGGATTTTATTTTTGTTCATTGTTGGTGGTAAATTGTACTGTTTTCTGTAACTATTGTGAACACCTTGCTTTATGTACACTTTTTTTTTTTTTTTGAATGGAGGGAGAATACTGGTAGTCCACGTGTCCCTGGCATCCTTTAAGAGCAGTGTGCAGAATGTAACGCTCTTTTGTAAGAAATGTTTAATGATTTTTAAATAAATTTAGTGAACCTATTCTTGGTGGTCATTATTTTTTAGGTATGCATAAGGTGTAATATCTAAAATGGATAAACCCTCCCTCTCCCCCCTTCCTACAAAAAGATGCATAAATGAAAGTTGCTGTTAAGCTTGCTCTTCTGCTTCTTTGATATAGATGGAGTTAAGTGTTCTTGGTAAATTAAAGAAACAGTGTGAAGACAATGGCTCGGCTTTGCTATTTGGGAAAAAATGCAAAAATACTCATGCAAATGTTGTGTAAAATTTGACTTTTTTGCAAGTGTTTGGCCCTCTTTGCAGTACTTATATTGGTGACAGTATATAAATAAAGTATTTAAAAACTTTGTGATGTCACTGAGTTACAGTGGTTAAAGTACACCTAATTTAGAAAGCTTAATGCAAATTACAGTTAGAAATAGCAGTTGCTGTACCATTAGTGATTGATTTCTAGTTTTCACAGCTTTTATTTGTATGAGGTAGAAATTTTTATCAATTGGCGAATTTACAGTATCTTAACTCTGTAATTTGTTTTTCACTATATACACTTAACCTTGTTTGGTTTCCTTAATGTATGTTGAATTCCATATTAAATAAGTGTGAGAAGGAGGAGCTCAAAGTTTCTCTGGATATCTCATGTAATACCTTGGCATTTGTATTTATAGTTTATAAGTCTTAATTTTACTTCCTAAAATAAAAACAATTGAAAAACGCACCAACCCGTGGCCTCTGGCTGTGGAGGATGTGGGGTTGGGGGTTGTGCGCGGGCCGGAGCCCTATCGGCTTCTCGGCCCTCTGCGCTGTGGAGCCGCTGCCCCGGCCTCGCGGGCGGAGCGGGGCC